TTGACGTGTCTTTCCGGAGCCTGCTCTCGTCTCACGCCGACCCTGGAGTCCTCGGTGAGCCGCCGCCGCCGCTTCCCAGCCGCCGCCGCTTTGTCTCCGCCGCTGTTTCCGGTTTCTCTCCGTGTGGATGTTTCAGAGGAGCTGCCTCGGTGTTTCTCGCTGCTTTTGACGGCGCCGCAGTGGTGCAGCGAGTTGCTCTGAACCGGTTTTCCTCGCGTTTATGTTAGGATCTTTAACGAGGCGGCGAGGTGGATCCGCAGACAGCCGCCCGTCAGCTGGGCTCTCAGCGATCTTCGCCCCCTTTTTCCTGCTGCCTGCTTTACATTCAGCAGCAGTCACACAATCACACGGCCACTCGGGATGCCTTTTGTCATTTAAACTGGCATCAAGTCTCCTCAGCACATTAGAAACACTATGTTAGGCTATTTCAATCGCCATTAGTCAAAGCTGATGATGGATACACACCCGATTGTCCGCTTTAACCAGCGGGTCTTTGAACGCAGCAGACCTCTGGATAGCCTATTGCTAATTTTGATCGGGTTTAAGCAGCAAATATAAATGATGCAAAATGACAGCAGACCTCTCTCCTTCGTGCAATGTTTACATCTGCTACTATCTCATCGCTGCTTCTCGTGTTTTCGCCGACCACGCGTTGTCCAACTTTCTGCAGCTCTTTTTAATGGCAGAATTATTTAGAAAGTGAAATGTTCAGTATACAAACAAACAAAGGACCCCTGGCTGATGCAGCTGAGGGGTCCATTCACATGCAAATCGTCATTGATTTCCATTCTACACGTCAATCTGGAGAGCACGAGTATGGATCGCCAATCCTACACCATTTAAAGCAATCAAACTTCTGTGCCTATGGAGGAATAAAAAGCTGCGTGGTCTAACTGCGTGTGTGTGTGTGTGTGTGTTTTGCTGTGGTTACAGATCAGCCCGAACTGAAGCAGATCGACCAGATCCTGCTCAAACAGAGTCACGCTGCAGCGACCACCTTCATACTGGAGGCGGTCAAACAAAACGCAGACAAGTCAACGATAAGGTAGGCGACGTTAGAGACAAGAAGGTTTCCTGTGAACGTGTAGTCAATACATGCTGCACACGCTCGTAGTGAACTTCTAAAAATACGCTCATTAGGTTGTCTGTTCATGGGTGAACAATTGTGCTCATATCAGACATTGTGGCAGGAAATATGTGGCTCTAGAGCATGTTGTTTGCTCGGTATTTACATGTAAGGACAGTATAATGTGACCTGCGGATTGCATCTCCCAAGAGACCATAGACCTACCCAAGATTACAGCAATGAGTTTAAAGTCTGTCCCGTACAACTAGAAGAAAACACCATAGCCTGCTTTTAAAATACTGCAGAGCAATGTGACTCTCAGGAGCTGTTGTTACTGAAATTACTTAATTAGCCATGTCCCAGATGTGCAACTGGGATGTCTTGCTTGTGTACTAGCAGCAGTGTTCCCACAGATAAACAATCAATTAACATTATTAAGCAACGTTTGGAATCGCCAGTGAAGCCATACTTAAGTGTTATGGAACTTGCAAATGGACGCAAATCAGCTGGAGTAATAAGTGCTATTTGGAAATGGGTCTGGGCAGCTTATTATTAAAACTCAGTTTCCCACAGTGGTCCATCTGCGTTGCCTTTGCTTTGTAGTCATTCTTTGGGTGTTTATAATAAGAGAGGGAAGGTGTAGTCATCATCAGAGTTGGATGAAGATGAACATGTGATTGTCCAAAACAAGCACCAATACACAGCTAAAGAATCCCTCAGACTTCTAGGAAAGTTTTTTTTTTTACTTTTGTTTTCTTTTTGACCCCCTTTAAAAAAAAAACTTTAAAACTTAAAAAAATATTCACTTAGACAACAGAGACACCAACCTTTAAACTACTAAAGCACTAACACATGTGTTTCTCTGTAAGCTCTTTTTTTATAAAGGGAAAAAATGCATGGGTTACAATTAAAATCCAAAAACGTGTCCAAGAATTTGACCACCTTAAAAAAAAAAAAAGAGAGTGTAAAGTAAACAGTTTGGTGTTTTTTTTCTTGCAGCTCCAGCCTTGAAGAACTCACATTCAGTGCAGAGAGAATAGAAATATTCTACAGCACATATCAGGTGACAGTTAAAACACTGTTGCATTCATTAAATCGGGTTTTCTATCATGAATTCTTGTAACTGTGGCGGACTTCCCCATAACTCAACGACGTGTTTTGTTTTACAGAAACATAAAAAAGAACTGGAACACCTATTAGCCAGGTAAGCCTGAGCTGTGAGAGATTTGTGGAGGTGAAGATGTTATTTTTAAGATTCATTTGTTGGCAGAATTATAACGGTTTAGCTCATTGATGATTACACACTGAAGGTACATTTTTAATCGTCTCCACATCACTGTGAATGAAAATTACGCATGGATCCTCCTGAGTGAATATCAGAGTTTTGACACTCTGGCTTTGGAAACTGAGGGAAGAGCAACCCGGTTGTTGCTTCGGCCCAGTCAGGGAACAGAGAGGGTATTTTGCGTGTCAGGACGAAAAGGTCAAGGAGTGTGATTAATTGCAATGTAAATGCTCCTTTATGGCGCACCATAAACAAACGCTCTTTGTGAAAGAGCCAGATTGTCTGCAAACAAATTGTCAATTCATATAAAACACGGAGAGTCTTTTAATCACACACTAAAATGTTATGGTACAAAAACCTTGGGACATATGGTTAAATAACCTCAAACGGCCTACTCATTGAATACTGAAAGGCTAAAGAAAATCTGCTAAAATAAATGATAACGTGAGATACTTTTTCAGAACACATAGGCTGTCACTTTGATCCTGACTGTCTGCTGCAACAGCATCGTTAAATGACTGTATGTTCATGAAGGTAACCCCCCACAGTCCCTGCTTATTTTCTGTGTAATGTCCTACATTAAAAGCTCTTTTTCTGTCATCCTCTATAGCATAGGAAGGCGTCCGCCTCAGATTAACGACGTGTCATGGCGTCTACAGTACCACATGAAGGTACACAAAACACGAGTTTTTGGAGCACATTTTGTCTTCTTGTTGCGCAGTGTCTTGCGCCAAAGTTAAAATATTGTATCCCCAACAGAACGAACAGGTCGATAAGGTCAACGAGCCTTTCTACTCGATTTCATTGAACACAGAGGTGAGACTTGGAGCACGTTTTTAAGCCTCCACTTTCACGCTGTTGTGCTTCTGTGGGTAAAATTGTTCCTTTTTGTTAGAATGAAGGATGCTCGGAGGATATCGACTTCACCTGCACAATGGAGCAACTGCAGGTAGAGGAAGGAGTTTGTTTCTTGTTGCCTTTTAATGGACCTCAACTTGCTCTCCTTGTGGCATTTTTATTCCAGAGTTGCAGTTGCACCATGCCATACTCAGCCTCCCTACCAATAAAACAAAAATAAAAGTAGACGCATTGGGCTGGTTGGTGTACGGAGAGGTTTCCACTTCAAACAGGGCAACTTCCAAAGAAAATACATGTGTTTAATTGTATCGTTACATCTTTGCGCTTTCGTGGGTTTCATTGCTGCAGATAAAACTTTAAAATACAAAATACATGTAAACACTAAGAGATTATATTGGTGGTGATACATTAAGTTCATCTAATATGATAAGAAATGTTATATGGACATAAAGTTCCTGTATGACTTCGGCTGTTTGATATTTTTCTGACCTTTTATTTGAATAATGTAAGCTGCAGTCAGATTCACGATGCAAAATATTTGATGAATTCAGTTCGGACATACAGTCTGCTGTCATTCAGTGTCCAGTCAGACTTACTCAGAAAAAAAATCAGATTGTGTTTAATTCTTTTATAGTATAGAGTATAATTCATGGCGTAAATATTATTTTTTTCACTGGATATTTTAGGTAATGCCCGACACTTTTATTCCTATTGAAAATGATCAATGGTTGCTTGTTTTCAGGATTTGGTGGGGAAGCTCAAAGACGCTGCCAAGAGTGTGGAGAAAGCCAGTCAGATGTGATGTGCCGGTGTCCTGTTTCCTCGCCTTTTCTGCGCCACAAAGCACTGAACTTCAGCAGATTCCAGCGGCATTACTCGTCTCTTAATAGCTTCTTTTGTACCTGACATTGACGTGCCATGCATGCTATACGAGAGAATTACCATTCCAACTTGTGTTTCAATAAAACAAACAAAAATAAAAAGTCCACCTTGCGCTTTGAATAATTTCAGGGCTTGATGTGCTCACACTGATCCAGCAGTGTTACTTGTCTTTGTAAGAACACTGCAATTTGGTGGGGGGAAATATTTTTTAATAAATACAATTGATGGCACTCTGAAATTGTAGGTTTTGTGTCGGAGAGATGTTTAACTTTTTTTTTTGAATATGGAGCCAGTGGAGTGACTGGTAGGCATGCGTTTTGTCAACACTTACCAACGCTGAATAGGATTTTTGCCATAGTTTCATGACAGCAGTGTATTTTCTTTCCTGCAAAGGGGATCAGACCAGCTTTTTTCTCTGGATGGCTCTGGCCGATGGGAGCTATTTATATATTTTTAAAAAACCTACTAACAAAGATCTATGACTTTACAGACTTATGTGAATATTTGGTCGCCCTTTTAGACTTTCTGCACCTCCGCTGAAAGTTCAAAGCTCCTCATGCAGCTGAAGCACCACGGCGGCTCAGATTCCATAAACATCCGAGATGCCTTCATTTTCTGCGGCGCTGGCTGAGGGATAAAGGATCCAATTCATCAAGTTGGAAGTTGCGGGGCATTTCTTGCAGATGTCAGAACAGCCTGTGACAAAGGTTTGACACCAGAGCCATTTGTCACACGGACGTATTTTAACCAAGTGCGTGGGTCTCTTTTTTTAAAAAAAAAACAGCGCTGAGTGGAGCTGAATAAGGTAGCTGTCTAATCCTCCAATAGACTGCATGTTTTCTACTGGGTGGATTGAGGCGTTTTTTCACGGTCAAAACGACATGAACGTGTGTGAGTGCGTGTTGCTGCAGTTATTTTTAACATCAGAGAGGCGAGGGAACACCATCAGCAGCCTACTTTCTAGACGCCCCTATCACATTGCCCATTTGAGCGAAAAAGTAGGATGCATATTTTGTGCATGTGCGGTGTCTTTTCGTGTTGAAAAGTGCATCAAACTGTATGAATGTGTATTATGGGCTATTTTAAACCATGCGTCATACATTACAAAGACCAGAATACACCGACAGTACATTTTATGCGCCCTTACGCAGCTGCCGGGTGTCATTTCAGCTCGAGAAAAGCGCAAACTCTTCTGTTCTTTGTGAGATTTTGCGGTTAAAAGGCTATTCGGCTGTACGTGTGTGTTTTGTGTGTTATTTTATATCATGCGTAGTAGATTGAGAGAAACAGCGTACACCGACAGTAATTCCTGGGCACCCTTAAGCAACGAGACCACGTGACCAAAGCGGGGCGGTCGAACTACAAGCCATTTTGGGGACGGTGTCAGTTTCCACGGAGCACACACACACTGCTGCATTTCACTGGGGGTGAAGCGGATATTTTGGAGGCAAAGTTATCGGTACTGAAGTGGAAGCCTCCCCGAACCGAAGCCGGGGGACTGGACCGTTTCCACGCCGCAGATCGGATACGCACACAGCGCGCAAGCGGCGAGGAAAAGAGGAGTTTTTATTCGCACATCTGAAATGCGCTCCGGTCCGCCGTGCGCTCTCCGCCACTGACAGCGTCTGCAGCCTGCTTCAAGATGGCGGCTCCGCTTCTATTCATTTTCTGCTGATCGCCTCCCAACTTTCATTGTCTATTCGCCTCAAGACCCACCGATTCCCAGCCGAGCCTCCAGGTACGTCTTATTCGATATCGTCTCTAACTAACGGGGGCAGAAGGCGAGGTTTGGGCTCGGTGCTTTTGTGTTTTTCTACGTACCGATCCAGCGGTGGATGTGGAGCTTGCAACGGTGGCTGCAGCGATCAGCGACGTGGAGCTCCGTGTGTGTGTCTGCGCACCACTTTTTTTTTGTAAAAGATGTTCCCCGCTCGGGCACAAACGCGAATTAAGAGTCACGCACACCCGGTGCTGCATGGTCTAGTGTCCAGTGATCTGTCCGTATAAGTTGATCGCGGTCGGGGTTTGCCTTGAGTCGTTTGGATTTATGTAAAGTGGAAGATCTCGGGCGAAGCAGGCTGTGTTGGCTGAGATGTTAACAGCAGCAAGTGCTCCAAACGGTCTTTCTGTGCCCGTATTTCCACACAGCGTCTTTATTTTATAGAGTCGGGGTGTTTGGGGTGTTGGGAACCGAGTGTGATGTTGCTTTTAGGCGTATATGACCCAATGTTGGATTTATTAACTTAACTTGGATGGCTCCCATAAACGTGACACGGACACAAACCGTTTCAATTGTGCATAAATGTTTCATGACGGCTGCTTTGGTAAACACTGGTTCATCGTTTATCACGCACTGTGGCCGTTTGTCTCCTAGTGTGTGATTCTCTTAATTAAGAAGGGTGGTTGGATTTTAGGGAAATTAAAAAAAAAATGTAGGCGACACATCGGCCAGGGTACAAAAGGCTGCGTCTCGGAAGCAGCCAAAGCTTCGGTAAATTCCTTTGATTTCATATGAGCTATGGCCACCACAGTTTGTTTGTTTGTTTGTTGACATTTAAGCTCATTATGGATTTCCATATTTTCCCCAACCTTCATACGGCCAAATGCTGGCGCACTGTGTGGCTCTCAATGTGGGGATACAGGACAGACAGACATGAGCCAGAGCCTCTTTTTGGGGGGGTAAAAAATTATCATTTTACTCGTGAATGCTGTTGGGGAGCCTGTGTGTGCTTAATGGGTTAAAATGAATGTATTTCGCCCCACCCGGGTGTGCAGGTAGACAGCCTCTCAGGTGTGTGGATGGATGTGATCATGTAGCCGAACTGACTGGAGGCTTTTACAGCGGGCGATGAGCACACTTTAAGACACGAAATGCAAGTTCTTCTTGTTTGTATTGACTTTAAGTTTAGGGTCATGTGGCCAGTTGGGAATCTCCTGTTTATTCATTTCAAGATTTTTCTAAACTGACAGACATCGGTTAATATGAGGTCTTGGTTTTTCCCATTGCCGATTTTAATTGGGTTATTTCCAGCTGCTGTTGATTTAAGTGCAAGGGGAACCTTTACAGGGGGAACTGTTCTCGTTTGGGAATAAATGAGGTTGGCACGACTTTGGGTCACTGCAAGAACCGAGGGAAAATCTCTCCATTTGTTGTTGCTTTATTGGGGGAATTAAAGGTTGAGTAGCAGCTCTGAATTAATTGAGTATGTGTTATCAACGCCGACTCCAATTAAACCTGGCTGTCCACATAAAATGATGTACACACTGCATCTCCTATGTGCAGCCTGTATTAGTAGCTGTATCCATAATGCGAGTCTTGAACAGCCTTCATTTAGTCCAGCGTGTGTTGGTTGGTGCTGCAGCCATTAAGCAGCATTCGTTCCCACTATCAATGAACTTTCTCCACGTTTGGATTTGTGGAGTGATTGAGCTGAAAGTCTTAGAAAGTGAGCAGCTCCCACAGGACAGAGGGACAGCAGTTGTCCAAACACCAGCCAATCGATTAATGGCGCAACAGGCTCCCTGCTTATATGTAGCTCGACATTATCCATCATTATCCATGTGTGAGGCATCCTTTGAGCGGACTGAGTCGCTGTCCAAACTCGCCTACAGTGGTCTGTTCAGAGACGGCCAGGAGAGGTCGGTTGGAGCATTGAGACCGGCCGGGACTCGGGCATGGTGCCCCGGCTGTGGCTCCATAAAGTAACAGTGGGTTCCGAGCTGGACTGGCTGGCTGTCCTCCAGTGTTTCTAAAGAGGGTCACCTCCCCGTGTCCAGTCTATAGGCGAGGCGACATTTAGACTTTAAATGATGCTGGTTTTTATTTCTTCAAGCAACGGCAAAGGGATGACTCCCAGCCCAGCTTTTAATTAGAACCCCTTTCCCACCATTTCTAAGACACATTCGCCTCATGGCTCTTAAATATTGGATAACATGAATAAACGATGATATTTTGGCTCTGCCTGACTTATTCCGCCGCCTGGGCTCGCGGTGGTTTGTGTCAGAACCGGTTTGGAAAGTTAAAACGCGCGTTGGCACAAAGTACAGGCAGTGTTTACGTTTTAGAAAGTGTTCCGTAATGGCGCAGAATAAATAAGTGTGATCCGGTGTGCGCTTCAACTTCGGCGCAATCGCTTACTGTCTGGCCATGTTGGTGTTGCACGGCGCTGCTTATCGCGCACACGCCGTGGAAAAACACGGCGCAAAAAGCGAAGCGGAATAAAGGCGAGGTTATTCACCGAGTTGGACACTTACACTCCTCCCCGTGGGTCCCTAACGATTTGGGAAGCCCGTGTAAACGCTTTGGATACTGGTTTTATTCGCCCCCTTTCGAAGGAAACCCCGCAGCCCGTTGAACCGATACGGGCTTTTTTTTTTTTTTTTTCCTCCACAAGGGATGATGGCATGCCTGCCTCTCGGCACCTGGCGTAGTCCGACGGTGGTCTGGGAGCCGCGGAGATGAGCTAACGTCGCTCCGTTTGTTCCGGCACACGCCTGATCGCTGACTGTTGCGCTGTTTTGAGGTTGAGAATCGCTCTGTTCCGGTTAGCTTGGCGAGCAGCTCGAATGTGGGCTAAATAATAATATGGCCATAAATGGAGGAGTGCCGGATTTAAAAGCGCTCAGGTCACCCATTACTGTGTGTGGACACCATATGATCTAAGTGAATATGGTTGTCTCCTATCAATACCCATCCCCCCTACTCACCACCACCCACACTCACCCCGGGGCGCCGCAGACCCCGTGTCTAATATTATTTTCCACCAGAACGTCCCGGTGTGGGATTGATGTGTGGGTGTAAAGTGGAGCGGCCGCAACCCGAGTGTGTCCGGTTTTATTGGGGAAAGATCCATTGTGAGGCGCAGACGCCCGGTTTATGTCGGAGGGTAGCCGACATCAGTGTGCGGGGCTTGGTTGGTCCGATTGGTTTAATAAGTCTGGCAGTTCTCTCTCCATATTTGTTTTTTAATTCCGAACATTTCCAGTTGATTCAGGCGACGTTAAAGTGTCACATTAAGCTCCAGATTTTGCAGAATATTTCCACATGTCCACAGTATTCGGTGCCATCGTTGCTCTCTCCTTTTATTGTTTTTATTTTTTAAAACAAGATTATTTTTGGATTCCAGCTCGTTTGCGGTTATCTCCGCGCTGCTATTGCCCCTCTGATGTCGCCATGTGTTAAGCGATGTTGATTTAAAGATGAAGAGGGAGGGAGGGAGAGGAGCGACGGAGCTCCATCGATCCCTCAGTGGAAGTGATTGATTTATGATTATTCACTGCGCCTCGGTCAGGTGACTGTGGCGCTGCTGCCTATCAATCTGCCACCGGGCTCCTTCCCCTTTGGTTATTATTGGATTAGCATAAAAGATGATGTTGCTTTAACACAGTCAAACAAACAGCAGCCTCTTTTTTTCTTCCTCTCTTCCTCCAAATGGTCTGCCCTGCGCTGTGAAGGCAACCTGCAGCCCTCTGATGCCTCCTCGCCTACCATGCATGCAGTGTTTTGACTTGTTCTTTTTTTTTTTTTGTTTCCCCCACGCAGGATTGTTGTTTATTTCTCTCAACATGCATCGGACGACCAGGATAAAGATTACCGAGCTCAACCCTCACCTCATGTGCGTCCTGTGCGGAGGATATTTCATAGACGCAACGACCATCATCGAATGTCTTCACTCATGTGAGCAAACGTGAAACAATGTCTCTCCCTTCGTTGCTGCTGGCTGACAATCTGTTAGCAGCCAGTTACAGCCTACAGGAACCTTTCCCTGCTCATACACATTGATCTGTGTCCCTTTTTTAAACCAGATTTAGTCACCAGTTCACATTCAGGATATACTTTCAGATGACATCTAATACTGACAGTTTTTTTTTTTTCTTTCCTTTTCTGTGCAGTTTGCAAGATGTGCATTGTGCGCTACCTGGAAAACAGCAAATACTGTCCCATCTGCGATGTACAAGTGCATAAAACCAAGCCTCTGCTCAACATTAGGTGAGAACTGTGGTTACAGAATATTCTGCATCGTTTTAGTTTTTCTCAGTTTCCTTTTTATTGTTTTCAAATAGAGATTTAATTATTTTTTTTTTTAGTCAGTCAAGAGTAAGATGCCCTAGTTTCACAAAGTAAACCAACTGTCTTTTTCTTCCTGAACATGGGTTGAACTGATGCACCTTTAGTCTGCCTTTTTCTATTCTTTGTAATAAAGATTTTGTTTTTTGGTATTGGAAATGTTAAGCAGCTACAACAATAGTTTGAACATTCTTTGTTTCCTGTTTCTTGCCCTTTGTGGTTTTCCCCTTTGTTTCCCAACTGAGCAGCTGGATCGGCCAGTCATTGGTTTAAAATATTCACATTATTAGGGACCACTGACAAAATATATGTGAGATCTTTCCACACCCTTGAAGAACTGTTATGAACGTCTATTGTTATGTGCATATTGTGTATGTGCTGTATTACAAGAAAATAGTTTTTTAGGGATGTATGTTAAAGGGTAAAAAAAACATACTTCTCAGTCATAAGCTGTCATCTGTTGTCTTCTCCGTGAGCTTAATTGAATAGGAACGGTTCAACCACTGGTATCAGTTGTTTTTCTAGTTTTAACTGCAAATGTTGATTCCAGTATCTCAATGACTTGACTGAAGTTTCTCTTCCTCTATCAAGGTCTGACAAAACTCTGCAGGACATTGTCTACAAGCTGGTCCCCGGCCTCTTCAAAAGTAAGAGCGCAGAAGTTTGAATCATCTCTGTATCTCGTGTTTACTTCCACTCTGACTCTGCATTCGCATTCTTTCTTTCGATCAGTAGTTTAATGCATTCTCCACCGGCAGTATCAGGACACCACAACAACTGTGTGACCACTTGTTTAAATAAAAGAGTAATGCATGTTTATATAAGGATGTGTGAAGATTTTCAGTGTTTTTCAATGTGTTTGTGCATAATCTGTTCATAAATGTGGTTACTGTGGTTGCTGAGCTCAGATCATTTCTACTGTTATTACATTTCAGTGTTTTTGTTTTCTTGTAAAGTTCTGCTCTTGTGTGGTGGTATATGTAAGTGCTGTTGATCAAACCTCTCAAATTAGGTCATGCAAAACTCATTTCATTGCTAAGTTAAACACACTCCTATAAGGTTGAATGTTATATAAAAAACAAAGTGGGATGTATGGCAGGTTTTGAGGCACAGTTTGTTTTAGCTGTATTGAAAGAATCCATCATGTATTAAATCAAACCATTAATGTTGTGAGTTGTTCCATTGCTACCACCATTCTTGCCTAATTGAATGCACTGCAATGTTCAGATCTATATTTCAGTGAAGACTAATGGTGAACAGACTTGTAATTCATTGTCTTCCTGAATGTCCTCAGATGAAATGAAGAGGAGGAGAGACTTTTATGCTGAGCACCCCGTAGATGGTAAGTTAGAAAGCGTGAAATGTGTTGTTTGTTATGTAATTTCCCTGCCACAATGAAGAGAAAATCACATTTCCTAAACTTTTAGAAGAAACCAAAGACTTTACACTCCGTAGGTGTTTCATTGCAATCCAATGTTCTATTTTATTTTTTATTTTTTATTTTTTACTTGATTTCCTGGGTATTCAGTGCATCCATGTGTGTGTTTTTCTCTAGCTTCTAATGGATCAAATGAGGATCGTGGAGAGGTGGCAGACGAGGACAAGAGAATTATCACAGACGACGAGATCATCAGCCTCTCTATTGAGTTCTTTGATCAGACCAGGTAGTTGTTCGGCTTAGTTGTTGAATAATATTCCACATTTTAATGAGATTTGGTTGTTTTTAACAAGAGTAGCAAATGTAATATTTGATTTAGTTACAATGTGGAGAAATGTCTTTATTAATAATGTCATAATATGCTTAATAAAACATTTAAGCACATGTATTAGGGAACGCCATGTGTTCCATCAGATTTTATTTTAATATGAAATAAAGATATGACCTAAAGATACTGCATTAAAACTGGTTAGATCCAGTCTGAGTGTTAAAAGTATTTTTCTACCAGTCAGTAATTCTGCTGTCCAGCACCAGAAAGCTCCTAAAGGAAGTGACTAATAAATATGTAATGTCTTGTCCCCCACTGTTTCACCATTAATGAAATTATTTTTTTTACTTTATTGTTATTTAATTTAATTTTATGTTCTGAAATATTGTTTCAGGCAGTGACAGCTTTCTTGCTTTCCTTGCAATACTATATACATATTTTAAGGGGTGTTTAAATGAGGAATAAGCTGCAAGCACTGTCTGTGTCAGATAAAGTTTTAGGAAAAAAACTGTAATATCTGTGGAAGAAGAAAAAGAGGAAAACAAAGTGTACTTTTCCCTCAAGTGGTGCATTTTGTAGATACAAAAATATATATTATATTTAAATGTTATCTTATTCATCAAATTTTGTTATAGTGTGTGTGTGTGTGTGGGAGGGTGGGTGTTGACATATAGAAAGACAAATATCACAGAACTGTACATTTATTAATATTCTCCTTTTGTTGTATTCTGTGCAGACTGGGAGTTGGAGTGGAGAACAAGCCTTCAAAAGATCAGGTATGGAGAGCTGATTTTGGCCACACACTCTTCTCTGCCAGAACTATTCCTTGTTAGCATCCCCTAGAGCAAAATATGTATGAACTATATACTACAGCCTCCTTTTTAAAGCGGCAACTAAAGAATATGAATCCGCCACCTCTATTGTAAAATCTGTCCACATACTTTCCTGCATTCTTTTTGTAAAGCAGACTGTGTTCCTGCTGTTAAGGTGGACCAGGCTAGTAGTAATTTAGATGCTTGGTCACTCTATATTAATATACATATAAATATTGTCATATGTATCATTTTGGAATACTCCATTTCCAGGTGGCTAACAAGAGGTACCTGCAGTGTCCGGCAGCCATGACAGTCATGCATCTGAGGAAGTTTCTGCGCAGCAAAATGGACATCCCAAGCACCTACCAGGTCTTTATTGATTTACTGGATTACTTTTCTTTTTAGACAAATAAAATGTGGACATTTTAAATGACTTGAATATACATTTGTTGGTTCAAGAGAATTCAATATCTTTCTTAAATCCAGATATCTTTGCTATATTTTATTCCTTTTAAATTAAAATGCACTTCTTTTCCTCTCTAGGTTGAAGTCATGTATGAAGACGAACCTCTGAAAGATTACTACACGTTAATGGATATAGCATATATCTACACTTGGAGAAGAGTAAGTTATCTTTTTGGACAAAGTAGACTTAATTTCAGTCTGTTTATCCTCATAAAGTTGTGAAACTAACAGTCATAAAGCATAAATGTTTTGGTTTTTTTGCCGCCTATTTATGTACAGAATATATAAAAGTATTGATAATTTTAAGTTAAATAAATGTTGCTGATATCTGATAACCTGTGTTGATGTTGAAATGAGTCTATGTAGCCTACATTATATTTGGCTAATTAACAATTTGAGGATCCTACATTTGATTTTATACACTGCTCAGAAAAAAAGCTTGTAAAATATGGGTTTCCACACTTTTGTTTTAACGGGTGCAATTTGGTCAATTTAAAAAAATATTTTTAATTAAATTTTTGTCATTTAAACATAAAATACATACTGACGGGGAAGGCTCTAGCTCAGCCAATTTTATACAGCTTACATTTCCAAATGTTTCCTTTATCTGGTAGGCCAACATGGGCTTTATTCCCTGAGGAGAGGAAAAATACAACTGATCTGAAAATACATTTAATTCTTGTTGCTGAGAAATGTGCTTCCCCTGTCCTTCAGAATATATTTGGACGTTTAGCCTACATATATTTTAATTTTTAAATAGCCTAATGATGCATTTTGGAGTTAATCCCGTTGTGCTGGTTCCAAACATCTTTAAAACATTGTGTTAAAGGTATTTATTTTTTAGGTTATTCCTTCTCTTCTTTTTTTAAATGCTTTTAATTCAACTTGTAAATCCTCGTATTATGTCTCCATTCAACCCAGAACGGGCCTTTGCCGTTGAAGTACAGAGTCCGACCCAACTGTAAGAAGATGAAGGTGAGCCATGCGCAGCAGGAAGGCCAGAACAGCGCGAGCAGATCCGGTCCGGAGAGCGACTCTGCCAGCGACAAAGCGGGAAGTCCCGCCGGGGCTCCGTCCACGTCCTCGTCGCTGCCGAGCCCCGGCACACCCGCGCAGTCCCCGCACCCGCAGCTCCCGCACGGCCCTAATAACGTCAACGGGACCCCGGCCGCTGCCCCTCCGACCCCGAGCCGGTCTTTCACTCAGTTCGGCAGCGGCGGCAGCGGCGGCAGCAAGCCCCGGAAGGTCTCTCTGAACGGCTCGTCCACCTCCTCAGGATGACGCGGGGCTCCGGACCGAGCCGGACCAGCCAACGCCAGACACCCGCTCAGCTAATACTGTTTTCATGCCAACGTAGTTCCATTGTGTAGACAATGTTATCTCTCTTTCTCTCTCCATTTGTTGTTCTGAATATTATGGCATCATATGTAAGTTTAAACGTAGTGGAATCAGAGGCATTTCAAAATAAAAGGAAGGAGGAAGTTGGGTGGCGTGGGAATTTTTTAATATGAAAAAAAAAGAAAGTTGGAAAGGAAAAGGACAACCATTTATCTTCTTTTTAAAGCTACATCTTTATTTTACAGAAGTGACTGAAGATAGACTTTTATATTTTCTTTTTTTCCAATGAAACGTGTTTATCATGATTATTTCATGTGTGTTGGGATATTTTGAAACTGTCAATTTAAACATGCATGCTCATGATAACACTTTGTTTTTCTATTATGGAAGAGGATTTTGCGTGTTTAACCCCACAAGTGTCATTTTGACGCGTCTTTGGAAGTGTTTCGGGTTTTGTTCCGTCAAAAGGAAAAACCAGTTTGTGTAGCGCTGCTGCCTGGCTTCACGGAATATTTGCCTCTGGAGGAAAACAAAAAAATCAACTTTAAATTGCCTTTTACTGGAAAAAAAAAAAACAGTTTCTTGTAGCTGCAGTGGAATCGGATTGCTTATGCTTCACGTCTTTAACACGTTATAAGCAGTTTTAGAGAATCCACGTGTAAATAGAAACGAAATGCATATTTAATCAGCGATGATGTTATTCTCTTATTCCCTTTCGTTCTGAGGGAATGACTTGGGGTCCTGTTCAGCTCCATTTCATGCTCAATGACAGATGTTTTGATGTCTCCCGTGTTTTCCGTATTTGTATCGCTCGATTGTATGGACAACTTATTGTATTGTTACTGTTGCACAGTATAAAACATCTAAATAAAACATTTTACACTTATGAAAAAAAAAAAGTTCGATTTCCTTTTTATATCATCAGTCAGCCCGATGCTCTGCACCATTGAACCAAATACAGCAATAATAGAAATGGGACTGGCTGCTAAGTGTTTGCAGTGATGGAGGTAACTCAGGTAAGGAAGCCAGCTCTGAGATCTAGCCCGTGATCAAATCATGTTTCTGAATACATCCAGTTAAACATGGAAGCCTTTTAAAGTGTTGTGTTTTTTTTGTGCGTGTTGATAATTTATCCCACAAATAACGACATTTACACTGCACTGAATATCAGTAGTTTCAATGGAAAATGAACTGAGGACTAATCTGTCCTACCAGCTTAAGATTGATTAGGCTATTATTTAACATTCCACAGATAGATGGTATGAAAGAGGGCAGATTTTCTATGCTTTGAATCATTTTGAGGGTTTTCCTGGAATAGTGCCCTTTCGCATCCTCACTCTGATTGGCCATATACGTACCGCCCAAAACGGAGAGACCGGGGAGCAAGTCAGCCAGTTCATCTCCAACGTCGGATTTACCGCTGAAGACACTTGAGAAAGGTTTGTGTTTTTTTCCTCACTATAGTATAGTAATGTAGGCTAAACTATTTTATAAACTATATAACATGAAACCGATCCTTCTGACCGATGATATAGCTAAACCTTTCTTTTAATATGAAAACTAGTCGTGGAAAAGGTCCGATTAATGGATGCGTGAAGCAGGGGGTTGTGCATGTGCAGCTGCATTAGCGGAACCTGGCATACAATACAATCATTCATAAAACTGTTTAAACTTATATTGGATTTCCTGTTTTGTTTTTTTACTGGGATTCATCGGTACATCAGTATTTGGGGAAGGAAAGAGGCTTCACCTTATCCGTTATAGATTCGTCTATAACGGACATGCAAGGTGGAGCTTAGGCCTATTTTACCGCAACGCATTGACGTGTTTGCCAAGTAGCCAAAGGTTTGCATTGTGTAATAATGTAGCCATAACTACTCGGAAACAGTTGCTTCGTATTGTAGCGTCCACCAGGTCAAAAGATGACAAAGTGTTATTCAGCAAACCCCCTTTTATTGCTGTAACAGTAAGGTTACTGTAGGCCGTAACCACGCCAAAACAACCAAGAATCTAAAGTTAGCCCAGACTCCAACTGCGCCCGTGCGTTAAACCTCCAGCACGGTCGCCCACAAACACTTTCACGGGAACTCGCACATATGCCTTGAACCCCATCCCACTCACACCCCCAATCCTTACTCATTCAAATACCAAACTCACGGAACATGTGACATTGCTGCAGGGTGGCTACAGTATTCAATGCAGAAAAATGTCCCCTATGACTGTTCAATAATAGATTATTATTGTTTGTGTATTAATATAAAAGTACAGTCTTTTACTGTGGTTGGTTGAGGTGGAGCTCATTTTTAACAATTGTGCGTAGGACTGCAACTAACGATTATTTTAATCTTTGAATGATCTGCTGAGCGTTTTCTATATTCATCGATTGATTGTTGTTTGTAAAAATTCTCAAAGTATTAAGTACCCAGAGCCCAAAGTGACACCTTCACAAAGCAACAGATTCTCACATTTGAGCAGCTGGAAGAAAGAAAAAATGCACAAACAAATTACGATTCTCAAAATAGTTGGCGAACCCTTTCGTTCATCTTTGTGGAACATTTTAATGCTAAATGTACAACAAATGTTTTACTATGTGCATGTGTTCATTCTTTTATTGATGTTGACCATTTTCACTTACATGTTCCCACACTGGTTAAGTATAAACTTTTCTGTCCTTCATGTTTATTATTTTTCAAAATACCTTCTCCATGACTCATAAGAGAAAAAGAAAAAACAACATACCAGAATAGACTCTGTGCCTTTGTCTCTTCCCTCTTTTGCTCCGGGTCCTGTTATTTGCACAGGAGATCACCATCACCAGACATATTGGAAAAGTTAGTTATTCCTAAAGGTAACTAAATTGGCTTGGTGGTTGGTTGGTTGGTATTTGCCATATCTTTGAACTGGACATAAAGCAAGTTTCTACATACTGTTAAGTTTTACGTTTTTTACAGGTTTGCTTAGATACAGTAGAATCCTCCTGCTCCTTCCTGTATGGTTCAAACTCCATTTTGTACAAATTAAGAATGTCCAATGTTACAAATGTATTTCTCT